TGGGGTTGGTTGGGGTTGGTGGGGTTGGTTGGGGTTGGTGGGGTTGGTTGGGGTTGGTGGGGTTGGTTGGGGTTGGTTGGTTGGTTGGGGTTGGTTGGTGGGTTGGTGGGTGGGTGGGTTGGTTGGTTGGTTGGTCTTTTTGGTTTGGTTGGTTTGCTGGTTGGTTTGGTTGGTTTGGTTTGTTTGGTTGGTTTGGTTTGTTTGGTTGGTTTGGTTGGTTGGTTGGTGGGTGGGTGTGTCGGTCGGTGCGTCGGTCTGTCTGTCTGTCTGTCGGTCTGTCTGTCTGTCTGTCTGTTTGTATTTTTGTTTGTCCCCCCTGCTCGTTCTTGTTCGCGCTCTCGCTCTGGCTCTCGCTCTCGCTGTCGCTCTTGCCCCCGCTCTCTCTCTCTCTCTCTCTCGCTCTTTTTGCTTTGCAATCAACTAGCATAGTTTTCCTTTTGCTTTGCAGCAAGACTGCTTTCTTTTTGGTCATCATCAAGAGACAGAGTTTTCGTCGCGTGTGTGGTGGCTGGGAGAGCGCGCCTCTTCAGGTATTATATGGCGCCGATCTCTGCCATTTGGCTCTTTCTGCTCATGCTCTTGATGGAGGCCGCTGCAATGGCGGAAGCAAAGTGGCCGGGACCAATCCAAGACTGGGGTCTCATGGTGGTCTCACATTGCCAAAAAACTCTCTTGGGAGACGATAGGGGGTTCACCTTCTTGGTTTCAACTTCCAAAAACAACCCCCAAAAAACCTGCCCTCCTTCATCGCTCTCCTTCATCGCCAGGGCACGGAGCCCATCGTGCTACTTCTGGCCTCCTGGACTGCGGAGATCCTTGGAGCACCGAACAAACACCTCGCACGCCGCCAGGACGTTAGGGAGCCCCTTAGGAGACCCGTTCGGAGCCTTTTCTTCAGAGCCGCGCGAGGTTCTCGCCGCTCGAGGCTTCGATGTTGGTGGGGGGGGGCAACTAAGGGTGGGCACGTCCGTGACGGGCATTGGCACTGTGATGTATTTGCTGGTGCTCTCAGGCAGAACGACGAGCGGTTTGGGTAGAGAAGTGTTGGTCGCAGAATTGGAGGATGATCGTTCGTACAGTTAGTGTTGCCAGCAATGCCAGCAATCCCCTTCTCATATGTTTTTTCCTGTTTTTCTTTAGGAAGTCATCCGCTTGATAGACCAACGGGACCAACCAAGATAGTTGCCGAACAGGTGCTCTCAATCACTAGCAGATTTCTCCTCTGCCAGGAAGGAAAGGGGTGGGAAAAGACATCCATGTTCCAATTCTTCCATTCTTTTGCAGGTCTGAATGCATGTCTACTGAACATTGCCAACTTTCTCGTCACCTCCTACACGAGCCCCGTATCTGGGCTTGCGATCCCTGCGATCTGGGCCGACCCGGGACCTCGTTGGATTGAAAGGGCCGAATGGGCATTGGCCATGGTATCTGGGTCTTCAACGAGCTTAGCAAGCTTTGCACCGGACTTCCAGTCACTTTGGGGCCTCTAGTCCATCCAACACTTTTGGGACCAAATGTGCAAATACACTTTTGCTTCCAACTGGTTTGGGGGTGTGGGGGAGTCAACCAACCCGGGGTCACGCGGACAGACTCATGAAGTGATGTTCAACTCAGCATTCCTGCACTCATGGAAGTGGAGTGAGCGAACATCACCTGCTCGGTCTTCGGAGAATGTGTCCTTCGAAATCGGGGCTGTTTTTCACTTCCATGATTCTTGCAGTGAGTATAGACCAGTTGCGAGTATCATCGAGTATCCAATGATCTTCCTTCCGTCCCTTTTGTGCCATGAGGTCACGTTACAGGTCCTCGGCAACGTGAAGAGCTGTTTGTCCATCGCTGTGTCTGTGGCCATCTTCAGGACCGGACCAGCAATGGACACGGGGGTGGCCAGGGTGGCCAGACAGCACCAGTTTGGCCGGTTGGGCACACCGTGTGGGCGGAGGGAAGAAGGACTTCCTGGTCAGGGAGTTCCCACTTCCAGCTCTACGCCAGAGTGATTGTAGATTTTGGGCCCTAGTTTGGGGCAGATTCGAGCATGGTTTGTTGAAGCCAGGGAAGTTGAAGAATGTCGAAGAGCTATACCTTCGCAGCACTGACCATTTAACCTCGCAGCTGTGTGGATGCAGCTGGGGCATGCCATGCCTGCTTGTGCAGTCCCAGCGCTGCATGCATGGTCCCAGGGTAAGGAGCATGCTGGCAGATGCTGGCAGTACTTTTTGAGGTTACAGATGGTGCTACACGAGCATTTGGTTGGCGGTTTTAATCTTGTTTGTCAATCCTTTTGAGAGGATCAAAGCGATTTAACAATCATGTTCCAGTGAGGCATTGATGGTACCATTTCTACACATTCTTTTCTGGTCTCCTGCCCAATCTCATGCCAAAGCATTGCGGGAATGCCCACGAAATCGCTCGATGGGCGGCTGGGGTGCTCAAAGATCCACTTGTTCTGAAGAATGGCGAGAGTTTCTCCAGAGAACTGTGCGTTTACGCAAACACACGCAAAAGTTGGAGAATTGACAGGGATGTGGATGTCGGGACACATTTGGGCATTTAGGACACCCCTACAAAAAAGGTCTTCAAGATAAGGGAGTCTCAGTCCCATGTTAGTTTTTTCATTTTCTCTTAAATTGGATGGTTGTTGTTGGGCTTTTGCATCATCCGCGCTGTTCGAGGAACAGCCTGACATTTGAACAAGCCGTTGGTGTCGGCACATGCCTGGTGGGCGTTTGGCTATACAACCAGAAAGAGCCCAAGGCGCGGAAGGTGCATTTTTGTCTGTTGCGGGGCGGGGGGTAGGTAGGAAATGGCAGAGATGGCCGGGTAAAAGAACGTTCTCAGATTGGATGAAGAACTCCTGCATCTTGAAAGAGGATTTCTTGAAACATCAAGAAGAACTAGGAAGCGTCGTTTCAATCTCAACAGTTCGGACACAGCTTTACTCGTTGGTTTCAGGCTCCATCCGTGGTTGCTCCAGCCGGAAGCACTTCATGGAGAGCAGGGAGGGAGGGGGAAAAGGGGGCATGCGAAGCAGTGCGGAACTGTGCCGACCAAAAATGCATTTTCCATTTGAGAAGTTTGTTGTGCGAACAATCTAATGGGACATGATACGGGATGCCCGTGAAGGCACGTAGTTTGTCCAGTTGAGAAGGCAAGAGGCTGTGAGATTTTCAGGAATCACTGGCATTTTGCTCCACAGATGCTGCGATGCCAACTCAGCTGCTTTCAGGAGCTTCTTTCGGACGCGTGAGGTCACTGCGAGGCAAAAAGGATCGTGTAGGAAGCTTCTTTCGGCAGTGGAAAGCAGTGTCATGACTCGCATCCTCGTTCCCGTCCGAGGACAGCAATCTTGCTGCAGTGCTGCAGAATCCACCCAATTGCATGGGCAAACTTTTAAAGCTTTGTTCTGTCTGAACGTGTTTCTGACTTGATTTCTCCTTGGCATTCTTTTCCTTCCACACCGATTCGCCGTGGAGTTTCTAAAGAGGACGATTCTGCCTCTTTTGGACGACACCTAGCTGGGTGCGGTTCCGTGTCCAAGTGGTTGTTGGGGGCATGGCCTTCCTTCGCCCTTCATTTTTGAACCTGGTGAACCCGAACCAGCCCACGTCGTTTCTTCCGCTTGCTTGGGTGAGTCGACTCGCAGCTGCGGTTTTGAGCACTCTTGAGTGCTCCAGGTTGGAGCTCCAGTGCTCGAGAATGCCAAAAAGATCATCTGTGCTAGAATTCATATTTTTGAGAATTCCATATAGTGACAGTGATGAAGACATATTTACTTGTACACACACATTTTTGCCTCTTTTGTCCATCCTTAGAAGGACAATTCAGTAGCCGCAGATGCATTCCATCACACTCAATAGATCAGAAAACAGATCATACACTGCGGCTAAGGTCCCCACCGAACAGGAGTTATCAGGAGTTTTGTACTTTTTTTGGTTTGTACGCGAGCCATGGCCAAGAGTTCCTGAAGGTTGGTCCCGTGCAATGTGATGCATTTGTGTGCAGTCCAAATAGCCTTGGATCAGTCATGTACTGGTAGGTGATAAAACAATTATGGTGATACAATCACCTAATAATAGTTTTAGCAACAAACTAGGCGGAAATTCGAAACACACTCTGGTGACATGCTGGTGAAATCCGACCCTTGAAATGCATCTCTTGAGCTTAAGGTGTAGCCATATTGTTGCACATGGACATGGCAAGGACCTTTGCCAACATGTTGATTGGCCGTGAAGTCGTGCAGTGTCACCAGAAGGTGACGGATTTAATGATCCAATGGCTACAGAAGGAAACACCATTGACTTACATGCAAGGAAGGAACCATGTCATGGCCATTTGCTTTCGAGAGCTGCAGGAGGAGGATGCAGCGTTGAAGGTGTTTGACTTTGTGATCCGCCAGGCGGATGAAGATCTCTTCCAGCCTGATGGCGAGAAGCTCTATTTTGCGACCCACAAGTTGGCCCAGGAGCTCCCCCATGAGGTTCGGAGCGCGAGCCCTCGCTTGACAATGAGGTTTGGTGAGGCAGAGATCGATTGCATGCCGATGATGGTTCAAAGCTGGATGATGTATCTCTTTGCGCACGTGCTGCCCACGGAGGCAGCCAACAGATTGTGGGATCACATTTTTGAGACCCAAGGTAACGTGGTGAAGTTTGCAGCGCAATTGCTGCTCTCTGGCAAGCAAGAATTGTTGAGGTGCCAGGAGAAGGGGTCGCACAAGGTTCTTTCGAACCTGCCAAGTAGAATTGCAAGCCCAGAAGATGTGGACCAGCTACTCTGCTGCGATTTCAGTGATGAACGAGGTGGAAAAGATTGCCGAGCATCATGTGTTTCCACAAGAGAAGCAAGTGCAGATAGAAGAAGCTCAGCGCTCAGATCTGGGGCATGCAGACCTTCTCGGGCGGGAACGGCCTCGTTTTGGAACGCGCAATTGGTCTCAATTTGGAACGCGGGCGGTTGGTCTCAATTTGGAATGCGGTGGTTTTTGCTTTTCCAAAATGAGCCGAGTTGTGTTTTCCAAAATGAGCCTCCTCTCTTCCCCGGCCAGCCCAGATGCCCAAGCGCTGGCAACCAGGAAGGTTATCACGGCGGCCATGGGCATTCCGTGGCTGCTGATGCATGCCGCACAGCTGCATGAGCATGAGCCCAGCTTCAAGCGCATGCCCAGGCTAGTTCCACGCCTGAGGCAGGCATCCCCACCAATGATTGTGCCCAGTGTCGTGCCCATGCATGAGGCAAATTGGCCAAGGTAGGGCTTCGCCAGGTCAAAAACAGTGACCTGGGGATCGTTCCAAAACCGCTTTGTATCCAAATGGGTTGCTTTGTCATAGTCTTTCTTGTTCGCGTCTGTGAAAGTCGAGCATCTCGTTTCAAGACAGTCGAATGTTTTATATTTTCTGACAGGATCCAGGACGTGGGTCCCAAGGGGCGCACACATTGGGTTCAATGCTTTAGCTGTTCTTTCATGAAATGCTAGTAAGTTCTCGTGTCTACACGTTTTTGGGTCAAGATCATGTTTGGACCTATCGGGAAACGTGATGTGAACATGGCGTTTCATTTGTTTGACGGAGAAGCCTCCTGATTGAATTTGATGTTTCGATGTGTAGATCCTCTCCAAAGTGCAATCAAAACGTGCGATTGGGAAAATTTGGAGAGGAAAGTCGGCCTTTTGATTTTGAGCACTTTCCACAGTGTGAAAGAGTCGGCGCGTGTTGCATTTTCGAAGAGATGAGCGTGATGAACACCCAATGTTTATCCCCAGATCCCCCAAAGTAGTGGACCCCATGGAATCCTCCCAACTCCCCTCCCAATGTTTTGGCTGCTTCTACGGCATCTACGGTCATAACTCGGACCAAAATGACGTGGACCTGGACGTGGACGCGTGGGCGGGGGAGCACCAGGGCACGAGGAGAATGAAGATCTGCCAGGTGATGGCCTACTACACGCCCAAGGGGAAGGGCAAAGGAATCGGCAAAGGTGCTGTCAATTTGGATGCGGGGCAGATGGGTAGTGAGATGTGGGGCGCCTTTTGCAGAGGTAGCGAGGGAAGAATGGAACGGGTGGAAGAGAAAACAATCGAGTCCTTTTTCATTTGTCAGCCCAGACCTCTGGGGCATTGGGAGGTCCTCGCTCACAGACCTGGAGCCTCGGCTGGCAGGCAAGTTTAAGCAAGCCGCAGTACCAACTCGCGACTATCAGTGACCCGGGTGGTGGCGGGTGGCGACTACCAGGTTTGGCCACAAAAAGTGTGGAACATTTTGATTTCCAAAAGGCCCCAGGCTTTGTTGTGGGTTCACACAGATTGCTGTGCCACCACAGGTTTCGGTTTCATGTAAGATTTCACTTTGAGGGATCCTTGAACGACCAAACAAACCTTGGGCACCAAACGGGCTGGTCGTTCGTATAGAAGATTGGGGATTCTCCTTCCTTTGCGTGTAGAGGATTCTTTGTAGGTGGAGCCTCTAAGACATTCTAAGACCCTGAACGAGTTTGTAGCGTGTTTGGGAGTGCCAAAGGCCGCTTCGTGATCGCACGTACGGAAGAGAAGAGCATTCGCGTGGCATGAGGTACAACCTCGAGGAGCGCGACTACAATGATCAGGACGCCCTTCTTCTATTCGTTTTAAAATTCCATTTCTACCGGCGAAAAAGACCAACGTAATTCATTGTTGTTCTTAGGGCCAGTTGGAGGGGCAGTGTCCAACTCTATATTGCTGATGGGCAAGTGCTCGGGAGAATCAGCTGGGAGAGTTTGGGGGCATGCTATTTTGATGACTTTCTTCTTTTGAACCTGTAGGCGGGGGCGGTCAAACAAGTATGATTTCAACGACGGAAAGTAGAGGTGCCAGAAGCGGTAGACATTATTGATCCGTCTTAGTTTGTGTGGAGCCATATTTGGAAAGCTTGGGCTTCTTCCTCGTGGTGTTTGTTCTGGACGTGCCAAGCACCAAAAAAACATGCTCTTTCGCAGCCATTTGCACGTGGCGTCCGCCCCTCAGTGCTGTCGCCGCGCAACAGACCTGCCGTGCAAATGAAGCAGGCAGGATGTGGCCTGCTAAAGCTAGCTGCAGATTTTGCGGGTTCAAGGAGATTTCAAACGAACAACATGGAAGGGACCTGGTGGGACTTGGTGCGGCCTGGTAAGACCCATCATATATTATACTATACTATACTTACACTATACTATACTATACCATACCATACTATACTTGCAAAGTTCCGGTTAGCGTGCGCTTTGGTCAAAAGATCATCGGCTACGACTTTGGCTCAAGCGCACGAGTGCATCATGTCCAAAAGGGTCCTTTGAGCTCCGGTTCACGCTGCCACTGCCTTGTGCAGTGGTAGCGGAGCCGAGGTTCGATCCAGGGACGATGAACGCCGCGCCGTCGAACATGATGCCGCCTCCAGGCCTTGCGCCTGGACTACCTCCTGAAGAAGATGAACGGCATCCACCTGCTGCCGCTGCTCCGGCCACTGCGGCCGGGATGAGGACAGAACCACCTGGTTCCAACAGCTCGGAGGGCTATGATCCATGGGCTCGACAGGACCCATGGAACCGCACGGGAGCTATGGCAGAACCGGCGAACGCCGACTACATCCAGCTTTTGCAGTGGCGGCAAGCCAATGCACCACCAAGGCCACCTACGCCAGGAGCGAACCGACCAGAGTTAGTTCACCTGCATAGTATGGGTGGCACGCACCAGATCGATCCTCTTGCTACACCTATGGCGCAATGGGGTTATGCAGCCCGGGATGAAGCGGAGAGGACGACGGCGGGACCCCCTCCTGAATGGGATGGGGTGGAGATGGAGTTCAAGGACTACAAGATCAAGGCAAAACTTTGGTTGAGAACTACCAGAACCCCTGCAGTTGCAAGAGGGCCACTCTTGCTGAAGGGGTTGACAGGCACTCCGTGGGAGCATATGAAATTCCTGGCCACCGACGACCGATGGCTGGACGATCCGACTAATGGGAACTTCCTCCTGGCCCTCATGGACACGAAGGAGTACTATGGGGAAGAAGAGAGGGAGTCCATGTTGGCTGCCTGCAGCCGGCTGACCTTTCATCTACGCCGCAGCAAAGGAGAACGTGCTCAGGGCTTCATGCTCCGTTGGGACGACTCTGCAAGAAAGGTTCGTGAGAAAGGTGTGATCCTGCCGGATGACTACCTCGGGTTTCTTTTGGTAAATGCCCTACAGTTGACGAGTGAACAGATCAAACTCCTCCTCAACTACACCCGAGGGTCGTTGAAGGTTTCCGAGGTCAAGGCATGGTTGCGGGTCCATGAGACTGATCTGGACATGTCTACCCTGGCGAATGAGAAGAAAAAGAGCACGTCTGAGGTGCACGCCTTGGACAATGATCCCCAAGGACTTCTACCTGATCAGGACTATAACCCTGACGATGAGGAAGTTCCGGAGGAAGGTGCGGAAATCCTGCTGAACGCCTTGGCGGAGATGTCCGGTGAGGATGACGAGGAGGCGCTCACTGAGATCACGGAGTCAGAGGCGAAGGAGGTCCTGATGACCATGATTCGGGACAAGCCCAAGAACCGAACATTCCAAGGGGCCATGAAGGCCAAGAAGAACCGCGACCTTGCCAGGGGATTTGGAGCTGGAAGAGATGGAGGCCTTCGACCAGGGACATACAAAGTCTCCATTGAAGAACTAAAGAAAAGAACAAAATGTCACAAGTGCTCCGAGCTCGGACACAGGAGCAGGGAATGCCCCAACGAAGCTCGCTTCAAGAACGACGGCAAGACCAAGGAGTTGCACCACCTCTTCAGTGAACGACCTGATGAAGCGGAGTTCCTGTACCTCGATTCTGAGGCCGCGGCCAGTGCATCCTCTGACCAACAAGGTCATTCAGGACAACCGTCCGCTCAGGCCGACTTCGTATACATGAGTGTGCCGGTGCATCCGTGTCATCACATGCAACAAGTTCCCAATGTTTTTGATGATGGTTGTGCAACTTTGGATACGGGCTGCCAACGCATGGCAGTTGGAATGAACGCTCTAGAACGGTACTCACATTTCCTGCCTACGGGGTTGAAAATACAATTCGTTGCAGAAAAACATCAGTTTCGAAGTGTTCACCAAACATCTGTCACTACTCGGGTGGCAATCGTTCCAAGTAGCCTGGGACAACGGGGTTCGTTTTTGAAGCCAGCAATCTTTGAAGAAGAACATTGTCGCACTGCTCCTTTCTTGATCAGTCTACCTTTCTTGTTGCACTGTGGGGCACAGTTGGTTTTGGATGAACGAGCAGGCCTTTCACTGGTTTCTGACAAGCTTAAATTTTCAGCTCGTTGTCATTTGGGACCCACTGGAGCCTTGCGAGTGTTTTTACAAGATTTCAACAGCAACAAGATTCGCCATTTACAGCAGTCAGCCAGCTACAATCGACCTGAATATGAGATCCTCCGGACGGAACATTCAGCTGGCTCGAAGTTACATCAAGTGTTCGGGAACGACTCATCAGCGCCTGAGAGTCATGATGCCACGCCCGAAGAGGAACCGAACGGAGGAGAGTGTGTCGATCATCTTCGCTTGGTACCGCCTGGCCTTGAGACTCTTCATGATGATCGGGCAGGCGATTCAAAACCACGCCACAATCCAGATGAAGATCCCCGGACTGCGAGGCATGAGGGCTCGGAGCATCGTCGAGTCGGCCGAACTGCTGGAAATCGAAGAGCTGGACGAAGTGGTCTCGCAGTTGGGGGCACAACTCCAGAGTCGAGGGGTGACAGCCTCTCAGCAACCTCAATACTCTCCAACGGAGGCGGCGAGCTCCGAGACGGAGACTCCATCAGAGTGGACACGGGTCAGCTCCCCCGAGCAAGCTCGAGAAGCGACCTTATGGCAGATTCCGCAGGGGTTGGACCTTCGAACCGCTCCACAAAGCAAGCTCTACACCTCCATGACCAAGAAGAATTACCAGCAGCTCTTCTGGCGCTGCCCAAGGAAACAAGGGGAACAATGTCCGTTCTTCCAGTGGTTGGACATCAACCCAGAGATGGTGAAGTCAGATCCGGGACAACACGCTGGCGGAGCTTCGCCACATGTTCCAGAAACAATGTCCTCACCGCAAGACCTCGAAGCAGGGAAGCAACGGGTTCCGCAACAAAGTGACATGCAAGGACTGTGGAAAAGTCCTCATCGACGAGGAGACCACCACCAAGAAGGTCCACCAGAAGGGGAAGGAGACCCACCAACAGGCTTCACCATACAGCTTCCCAACGACGAAGCCCAGTCCAGTGTCTCCAGTGGAGGTGGAGGAAGAGCTGCTAGACTATCAGGAGTTTCTACAGTGGCGACAGCAGCGCCAGGCAACGTCCTCGCAGCCGCAAGCGGCTTCATCCAGGAGGATTCCATGGCCTGCGGACCCCATCGAGGACATCGATCCCATGGAGTTCTCAGCCTGGGCCCGCTTCAAGAAACTCCAAGCGGGCAGTCGACGACAGGGAGCAAAGATGAGCCGGCCTTAATTTCGCCCAGGCTGAGACACAACATGGTGGGTCACCTCAAGAGAAATCATGGTGTTTGGCAAGAACTACATACCTTGTTGACAATGGAACACCCTGAACCTCTTGGTACCCCTTTGAAAGAACTGTGCGACAAAGTTGGAAAGGCGATCCAAAAGAACTCAGCCCAGTTGAGGATATATAAGGAGCTCTTTGGCCTCGAGACAAAACAGCTGCGGAAGGTTGTTGAGTTGTGCAATCCTGGATGTTTCAATCAACAAGTCGATTATTTTGGCTTACGCAGAGGACAAGTTTTTGACATTGTATTAGGTTGGGATCTACTGGACAAACAGGTTCAAGAAGATGTCAAGGCCTACTTGAGATCGGACAAACCAGGTTTGATACTGCTTGCACCTCCTTGTACGTTGTTCAGCACGTTACAACAGTTGTCCATTCGTTTGAGACACCCATCGGCTGCACATTTTGATGAACACCTCAAAGAGTTGCGTCGCGCTCGCCTCCTACTCAAGTTCTGTGTGGAAATTTGTGAACTATGTCACGAGCTGGGATTACATTATGTTTTTGAACATCCTTGGGGAGCAAGTTCATGGAGTGAACCATGCCTCAAAAGGCTACTACAACGAACTGACAACTATCTTGCACGAGTAGATCAATGTCAATTTGGTCTTATGGGAACCAGTGGACAACCAATGAGAAAGCGATCAGGATTCCTAACCAACCACCGAGCCATTGCTGAGAAACTGAACGTGACATGTGACGGATCTCACGACCACGAGACTATTATCGGCCGCGCCCCCGGAGATCCTTCCAACCGTTCTCGCATGGCGCAAGCTTACCCTTCAAAGCTGATCGCCTGCATCCTGAGTTCCTATGCTGCAAGTTTGGGCATCTCGCGATCGGAACTGCACTGGGTGGATGCCTCTACTATCATCTCTCAGGATCAGCAGCTCTGGAACAAATTCCAGCTAAATTCGTCACCACCTCTTCTTGCACTACCAGGACGGGTGGGAGAAGAAGAATCACCTCAGGTGGGAGATGCACTACCTCACCAGGTGGGAGAAGAAGAATGTCGGGGTGACTGGCAGAGAAATCCGTGGCATCAGATAGAGTGCCACGCT